GGGGTTACTCGGCATTCTGGCAGGCTGGCCATAAGCTGCTCCTCTGTTTGTGGCTTCATAGCTTTGCATGTGACGCATCTGAATTTGATCGTTTTGACAATACGGTGTATCTTCAGTATCCAATAACGTCTCCTGATCTTCGCAACGGTGCTTGCTATGCCGGAATGGCTAGACTCATGGTTCTGTAGGGCGATTAGGTAGGAAACTCTGCTTTCCTGTGGCAAAAGTAACGGGTGTTTGGTATCGTATGTAACAACAGATTCGTCAACTCTTCCTCCAACTCGTATAAGACCTTCATTATCCACAAACGGGCTTAGGCAACTTAACTCACTGCTCTTGATTCTTGCTTTCAAACTTCTTTGAGCATCCTTTATGATGGTCTTCCTGGCTTGTTCCAACTCTTGTGGTGTGAGCGTTCCTGACTTGTTGGTATAAGCTGGGCTCTTTCTTGCGTGTAGATTATTTACAAATCTTTGAAGCCATGCTTTAACACGAATAAGCGTCTTCCAGCTGGAGAACCTGCTGTAGTCAATAAGGTCTGGCGACTTGACTGCCGTACATACTGCCTTTGGTTTCTTGATTTCTTTGTCAGCATCATTGCAATGCTGGTTTGATTCGTTGTGCGTAATGGGCCACTCTTCTTCRGGGCATTTCAGAAATGCAGGACCATGTTTCCATCTTTCATCAAGTTGTCTGATGGACAATCCACGTGACAGGTCATCAGCAACATTGTGCTTGCCAGGAATGTGATTCCACTGTGCTGGATCAGAGTTGTCTTGAATCTCTCCAATCCTGACTGATACAAATGGCTTGTAGATTCTTGCTTGGCTACGTATCCAAGCTAGTACAATCTCGCTATCGGTGAAGAACATCACCTTAGTAAACTCAATCCTCGTCTCCTCTTGGATGCTTCTGGATAGTCTAGATCCTATGACCGCGCCTTGGAGTTCCAATCGTGGTATCGTCAGAGCTTTGATAGGTGCTACTCTAGACTTGGCTGCTATGAAACGTACTTCAAATGTTCCATTGCTGACGTGCCATCTGATATATGCGCACGCTCCAAATGCATCTTGCGATGCATCAGTGAAAATGCATAGAATAGGAGAATGTGCGCTTTCGTCAGGAGTTAGAGAACGATCAAATGTTACAGAGTTCAGTTCCTTCATTTCTTCGAACAGTGCAACCCATACTGCCTTGGTATCGTCTGGAAGCTCGTCGTCCCAACCAAGCCCTCTTTGCCATAACTGTTGTAGACCGATTTTTGCTCTGATGAGAAAGGCAGATGCGAATCCTATGGGATCATATATCCTTGCTACTTGGCTCAGCACTGTTCTCTTTGTCAACTTGCTTTGTTCTTTACACCTAATGTGATTCGGGTTAACTTTAAAGGTAATCGTGTCTTCTTCATTGTTCCACACAGCTCCGAGTATCTTCTCCTCGCTTTGTAGAATGTCGACCTCCTGTCGTTGCTGATTTGAAGAGCCGTCTAAGACTTTGTTCGAAATCCATCCCTTTACCTTGAAACCTCCACTCTCTAGTACTTCATCTAATTCTTTGGTAATCCTTTCAGCTTTCTCTTTGGTGTGTACTGATTYACAGATGTCATCCATATAGGTGTTCTCTCTGAGTGTCTGTGCTGCTTCTGGGTACTTCTCTTGATTTTCATGTGCTGTTTTGCGTAGAGCAATCTGAGCCATGGCGGGAGCGGGTTTGTCGCCGAAAGTAAGCACAGTTTTGACRTAAACACCTGGTTCTCGTGTCGTGTCTAGGTTTCTCCACAGAAAGCGGTGAACATGTTGATCTTGCTCAGTGATCAAGACTCTATGATACATCTTGGAAATATCTCCTGCGAACGCTACGATATCTTCTCTGAAACGCAGTAGGACACCAAATAGACTGTTTAGCAAATCCGGGCCTTTCATCCAGTAGTCATTCAAGCGATGACCTTTGTAAACTGATGAAGAATTGAAGACAATGCGCACTGGGGTACTMTTTTTTTCTGGCCGGATGACAGCGTGATGTGCTATATAGTGTATAGGCCCTTTGTAGTTATCAGCCTCTTCTCTCGTGAGCTTTCTCGCAAATCCCATCTCTTCCAGGTCAGTCATTTGTTTGTCGTAGATGGCTGCTTGCTCAGGATGTTTTGAGAGTCGTCTTTCTGTAGACTCAAGGCTTTTCAGTGCTTGGGCCTTGTTGTCGGGTAACCGGTTTGGATCTTTTATCCACGGATAGGGTACTAGCCATTGATTTCCCACTTTTACACAGGATTTCTCTATTACCTCAGCCTCCTTCTTCTCGACAGTACTGAGGTGATCTAAGGAGCCYTGCTTCGGAYTTACGCCCATTGCTTCTGTTGTCCAGAAACTCGTAAGGTCTACTGGTTGCGCATACTTCACGTGTAATGCTAACTTCGTTGATGTACTATCAATGTCGTCAGATGGGGATCCGAAAACCACCCATCCCAGGGGAGAGTGTCTTGCAGCCAGATTTCCACTTTGTCTCGTTTCTCCAGTGTGCATGTGGGCGTGGTCGACCCCGATTAGCAGGTGTACAGTACCTTTTCCTCTTTTGATGTCGGTTTTCCTCAGGTTTAGTCGTTCTGTTATGGTCTGAATTGGCGCTCCGCTGACGTCATCAGTAATGCGTGCTAGCCCGATTGCGTTGATGGTATAACTCTTATTGTCGACTAACGATGTGATGGGGACTTTGTAGACATGCGTCTTTATGACCTCTTCTTCTCCGCCCACYTTACTCAGGGTTATTGATACAGGTTTTCCTGTAAGTCCTAGTTTGTCGGCCGTTTGTTGGCAAATTATACTTAACTGCGCACCAGAATCAAGCATGATGTTCCCACGTTGACATAAACCATTTCTTCYGCGTATGTTACCCGAGACAATAGGCAACAGGGCGTCATCTGAACTGCTAGTCGCTGCAACATTAGCGCGCACAGAGTTACAGTGTAACAGCTGATGATGGTATTGTGTACATTGTACACCGTTAATCATCTCAGGGCATTGACGTCTTCTTGAGCAGTTTTGGGATTTGTGATCTCTTCCCGCTTTTTTGAGGCAGCTGAAGCAAGCGTGGTTGTCCTTTACTGCTTTTAATCGATCACTTGCAGGCTTTTCTTTGAAAACCTGACATTGATCAACCCAGTGATCAGAAGAT